GATGCCGGGGATCCAACCTGGGTTGGCCACATGCAAGGCAAGTACCCTCCCCGCTGTACCATCACTCCAGCCTCAGCTGTTTCTCTCCCAGGTTCCTGCCTTGTCCGGACTGTTGTGGTCTTGCAAGGCAGCTGTGTATGTCCCTCTCTGGGGGTTCTTGACTGCAGCCTGTGTTCGGTCCATGCCTCTCTCCTCAGCTTTTCCTCCCGATCTGCAGTGACCTGGAGATTCTCACTTCCTCTGTCCCTCTTAGTTGCAGCCTCTCAGAGCCCCCAACCCATGGCCCTCCCATTAGCCGGCCTCCTCTCCAGGGTCCCTCTGCCCCATCCAGGGGGACAGGACCCCTCTGGGCCACCGGGGCAGAGTGGCCTTCTGCTGCCCCGAGGACCCAGGCCGCCACAGCCCCCCTTAATGAGCGCGCCTCCCGTGACACATTCATTATTCCTGTTCGGGCGCTCCGAGTCAAAACTGATTAGTTACACTTACTGCTGCAAAGATGTAATGATTTTATTGTTTATCTTCAATTTATTTTGATTAACATCTCCGTTCTTTTCATTGCAAGTGCAATTAGGTGCAATCTAACAGCGACTACTTTAATTTTGTTGAAATTAAGATGAATAAGTGACGGCTTATGGTGCTTTGTTTAACAAATAAATCATAGTTAAGAGGAGTGTATTAGTAATAAATGAAAAAAGACAGCTTAATTAAAATGCATGGAGCCAGCCTCTTGATGCACATCCAAAATCCAAGTTGGAATTCCCAAAATCGAAGGGAGCAGAGGCTTAGCAAGGTGCTGGCCACCTCATGCGCGGTGTTCAGATGGGGCAGGAGTGAAGACGGATGGCCAGGAGGCTGCCAAGAGCACCAAGTCCCTTCGGACACTCCTCAGAAGTGGCACCTGCACAGAGAATGCCACCAGCAACGCAGCTAGCAAGTGGACTAGCAAGCAAGCAAGAATTCCCACCCCAATCTGGAATTCTCTTTGCGTCCAGGGAGGCCAGGCGGGAGGGGGTGGGGGCAGGGCAACACCCCCCCCCCACCCCGCGCGCCTCCCCCAGGTTTGCCTGCAAAGGTGCTGGAGTCCTGGGAGTCCCGTGCCAAGCCGGGAACCCCAAGGCCAGTCTCTTGCTGAGTTCTCCTCCCCGCTGCTGAGAGGGACTTCCCCATCTCTTGATTTGGAAACAAAGTGCCAAAAAGTCAGCCCTGGAAAGTTTCCCGTGTGAAGTTGAAAAGCGCCCGTGCTGGAGAGAGCGGCTTTGAAGCAGCTCACGGGCCCCTTGGCAGGCTCCTGCGAGTCGGAGGCCTGGCCTCGCTCTGATCCGCCGTGCCAGCTTGGGCAGGGCTGGGAAATGGGAATTGTTTTTAAGCAGAGAAAGTCCTCTTGGAGCTCCCTTCCTTTCCTGCTCGCTTGCTCTCCCTTTGTTCTCAGCCTGCTCCTTCCGCTGCGCTCTTCACCCTCTCTTTGGCTTCCTCCTTTAAGTGAAGAGGCGCAGTCGGCCCTGGGTTCAAATCCAGGGCAAGCACTTACCAGCTGTGTAACCTCAGGGCAGTGACTTAACCTCTCTGGACCCCAGTGCTTATATCCAGAAAGGGTCAGGGCAATGGGGCCCCGGAGGCTGGTAAATACCAGCCCTGCCAGCCCAGAGAGAAAGTCCTTAAGCCTCATATGCCTCCCTCTGCCCAGGCCCTTCTGTTTCTGGCCTGGACACTGCTAGAACCTTCGGGCAACAATCCTTGTCCTCCCCTCTTCAGTCACAGACCTTCTCCTTCTTCATTGTCCCTCTGCAGAGAAAGCTGCCTCAAAGGGGACCCAGCCCCACAGCCTACCCCCACCATGTGACTCCTCCAACTGATGGCTGTCCTTGGGTTCCAAAGTATCTTTACAGGGGTGATATAGTTCAGCAGGTTGGGTACTTTCCTTGCACGCAGCTGATGCAGGTTTGATCCCCAGCCTCCCATATGGTCCCTCAAACACTGCCAGGAGTAATTCCTGAGTGCAGAGTAACCCCAGGGCATCACCAGGTGTGACCCTAAATGCCAAACACAAACAAAAATACCAGTATCTTTTCAGTTAAAAATAAAAACAAAATAGGAGACTAACACCCAAGAGTGTTAGTACAGAGATTAGTACCAGGAGTTTTGTTCCATGGCTTGGAGGCCAGCCACACATTCTAGGGGAAAAGGGAGCTCAGATAGAGAAAGGAGCACCAAATAAAGGGTGTTGGAAGGATCCTCCCAGGATGGGAGAAGCATGCTGAAAGTAGACTATAGACCAAACATGATTGCCACTCAATGCCTCTTTTGCAAAACACAACACCCAAAAGGAGAGAGAGAACAAAAGGGAATGCCCTGCCACAGAGGCAGGGTGGGATGGGGGGATAGAGGGTGGGAGGGATACTGGTACCCGTGATGGTGGAAAATGGGCACTGGTGGAAGAATGGTTGTTTGATCATTGTACAATTGAAACCCAAGCACAAAAATTTGTAAGTCTACAACTGTACCTCGTGGTGTTTCACTAATAAAATTTTTTTAAAAAATTAAAAAATAAAAGCATTTGGTGGAGGTGGGGGGGGGCGATGGTTAGCACAGAGGCTGGCACACAACTGGGGTGTCCGATTAACAGCAAAAGCCAGGACTGACACTTAGGGCAGAGGAGTGACTGTGTGTCCTTAGGGAGCACAAGGGTGGGGGTGGTGATGCCAAGGCAGTGATGCCGTGCCTGGTGGACAGGACTGACGTAGTAGGACAAGGAGGGACAGTCCTCAAGGGTGGCTGAAGGCAGAGGATTGCTGCGGGCACCCCATCTGGCTTCCTTCTCCCAGTTCAGGGATTCAAGCCAGGGTTCCCAAGCACTGAGCCCCGCCCCGAGCCCCACCCCCCTCCCCAGCCTGTCCCCTCCTCGGTGTCCCCTCCTTCCTTCTGTGGCTGCCTTCCCTCTGCCAGAGCTCTCCCCTGCCTCCCAGCCCCCACCTGCCAGCCACTCTGCCAGGAAAACCCTCCTTCCAGAGTCTGTCCCCGCTCCCTGCCCTCTGCCCCTCTGGACTCCATGCCCCACTTCAGGTCTCAGTCTAGGGGTGCCCACCCTCTGGGAGAGCCCTTCCTTAGCCCCAGCCCAGGGGACTGCCCTCCCTGCTGGTCATCACTGCGGCTCCACAAAGGCAGACACAGAGGAAGAGGAGTCTGCCTTGTAAATAAATAGCGGTGTCAGGGGGCAAGCAAATGGCAGAGGCAAGATTTTGTGTTTTGTTTGTTTGTTTATTTGTTTGTTTGGGGGCCAACTCAGCAATGCTCGGGGCTTATTCCCAACTCTGAACTCTGCACTCAGGGATCACTCCTTGAGGGCTTCGGAGACCACATGGGATGCTGGGAATCGAACCTGGATCAGTTGCGTGCAAAGCAAGCCCTCTACCCACTGTCCGATAGCTCCAGCCCCAGCAGTGACAAGTGTTTAAGGAGCATTTGTTGGCTAAATGCTACACAGAATGAGTAGCCGATAGGCGGGTCCTGGGTGCATAAGCGGGAGATCCTCTCACAGCCCCGGAAGGACGGGGGTGCGGCTCCCAGAGCCCACATCTGTCTGAAGTCACACTCCATCCGGGAAGCATACATGAAGCTTCAAAGCTGTTCATAGTGAGTGAGTGTGTATGCATGTGAGAACATGTGAGAGTGTGTGTGAGTCTGTCAGAGTGTGTGAGTGCTGTGAGTGTAGGAGCGTGTGAATGTGTGTGAAAGTGTGTGTGTGTGCATGAGTGTGAGAGTTGTGTGAATATTGGTGAGCGTGAAAGTGTGCTTATGAATGAGTGTGTGTGAGAGAATGTGTTTGTAAAAGAGTGTAAGAATATGTGTGTATTTTTCAGAGTGTGAGAATACGTGTGTGTTGGTGATAGTGTCTGAGAATATGTGTTTGTGTGAAGATGTGTACATGTTCAGGAGAATGTGTCCATGTGAGTGTGTGTTTGTGTTTGTGAGATTGTGTGTGAGAATGTGTGAGTTTTGTGTAAGTGTATGTGTGTGCGGGTGTGTGTGTGTGTTTGTGTGAGTGTGAGGTTGTGTGTAGCAGGGGGGCTATTGGGCAGAGAGGATCAGTTTCTTCCTCTCGGGCAACTGAACAGGATAGGGTACCCCCTCCACTCCCCTCCACAGGGTCACCAAGGGAAGAACCAGAAGGTGACCCAGCCTGAGATGCTGGATCCAACCCTGGGCTGTGCCCTGGATGGGGTGGACACCACAGAGGCTGCCAGGAAGGACTTTAGGACCCTAAAGGTAACCAGGACCTCATCTCCGTCCTGGCCTCTGGATACCTACTTTGGCCCTTCAAGGCTGGGACCCTGATTTTTGTGGGGCACACGTGGGACCCAGGGGATTGGGGGTGGGGGACAGGCAGCTGTCTGGGTGGCAGCGGCATCTGGGGGGTCCAGGCCCCGGGAGCCCCTCCTTGGGCTCCTACCTTCAGCGCACCCCTGCTAACCCCCCACAAGGGACCAGGGTTGGGATGGGGGAAGTGGCTTGTCGGAGGTCGGATTCCGAGCAGGAATCTCGTTTCCTAGGGGGGTGGAGGGGGGGGGGGGACAGAGAGCCCTCCCGAGGCGAGCGGGGGGTGGCAAGAAGAGAGAGAGGGGGAGAACATGGGGGGAGCGCCGGGTAAGAGAGCGGCGGGGAGCGCGAGCGGCACGGATCGAAAGAGAAACGGGGCGCAGCGCGCGCGGAGCTGGGGACACCGGGGAGCGCGCGGAGGGCACGGGGCGATGCGGCCGGAGCCGGGGGTTCGCGCGGCGCGGGGCGGGGGCCGGGGAGGGGACCCCGGGTGCCGCGGCGCCCCCCATCCCCGCCGCTCGCGCCCGCAGCCCGGCGCCCGGCGCGCACCCCGGCAGCTGGCAGCGCGGGCCGAGGGGGCGCCGCGACCGTGCAGCCCCCCGGCTCTCGCCGGCCCTGATTGATTTGTCAGCCGCGGCGACAAAACCGCCCCCCCTGATCCGCCCGCCCCGTCCCCGTCCTCGGCCGCCCGGCCGCCCGGGCCTCCCTCCCGGCTCGGCCGGCTGCGGGGCCCCGCGGCGCAGGCTGAAGCGCCCCGACACCGCCGCCCCTCCGCGAAGCCCCGCACCCCGCGGCCCCGCAGCCCCCCTCGGGCACGGTGCCCGCGCCCCCAACCCTCACCCTGCCGCTCCCTGTCAGCCCGGCGCCCCCCGCGCCCCGGCCCAGGGCCGCCAGCCGAACCGGCCACACCCGCTACAGAGGACGCGGAAAGGTAAGCGGGCGCCCCCCCCGCCCGGGCCGGGGCGCACCGGGACCCGGAGCGGGCAACCGAGGGGGTCGGGCGGGCGCCGGAGGACAGAGGGAGCCGGGAGCGGCGTGCGTGCGTCCTGAGCCCCTTCCTACGGGTATCTTTTCTGGAATTCTCTTCCCTCTCCGAGCGTCTCCAAGTTGACAGCCCCGGTTTCCTCCTTGCAGGGTCCGCCTCCTTGCCTCGGTTTCTCCGCCAGAAAAGGGGCTCCCCTCCTTCCTTCCATCCCCACTAAGCATCTGCCCTGCCCGCATCCAGGCTTTCCTCCTCTTCCTCACGCTCCCTGTTCGAAGGAGATGCTCTCTCCTTCCTAGCCGTCTTCCTGGGCCAGGCGGGACCCCCGTCCTCAGTCACCGCCTCGCCCCACTGGAGTTGAAGGTGCCGAACTGGACTAGGGGGTGGACCTTGTGCTTACTGAGGGGGTCGCCGGGGTCTCGCTCGGGCTCCAGCCCCGCGCAGCTTCCCAAGTCTGAGCCCAGGTGGACAGGGCAGAAGTAGAGACCGCACCTCGGGGGGGGGGGGGGTGTGGGGGTGGGGGGGACAAAGAGTTGGGTTCCGCTGACACTGGTATCAGCCTTTCCCTAAGCGGCAGGTTCCCAGTTTCTGGGCTGAGGGACCACCCTCCCCCACTCCTTTAACTTTAAAGTAGTTTAATGAACACAGAGAGAAATCATTTTTCCCCCCTTTTCTGCGTGGTGAGTAGTCTACAAAGAGAAAGGGGAAAGGAGGGAGCGCTTTAACTCTGATCCCCGCAATTAGTTCCCTGGGATTGGGGCGGTGAGGGGGCCAATCCGGAGCCTCGGTTCTTCAGATACAAAAGCATTTAGGTCGCTTTAGACCGGTTAATCCCGAGTCTGGCTCGGGTCTCTTTTGTTTCCCAACTCCATTGTGGGTTTTGTGCAGTTTCTCTCTGTTCCCGTGATTGACTAGCCAATGGATGGTAATTATCCAAATGTCCCCTCTGTCCTTTGACTGACTTCTCTGTATAATGGGCAACTGTCATGCATTCTGTCATTCCATATCATATTACACATATTATCATAGGAACTCCCCCCCCCCTATAAAGGAGGGAGTCTCAGTCTAAATGCTGCTGCTTTGAGAAGGAAGGACCCTGAGTAATTTGTCCTGGGCACAGTTTGGAAGACAGAGCAGGGGACCCCCGAAATGGGAGGCTGTGCAGGTAATTTGTTTTGCTGTCTGAGGGGGGGGGGTGATGGGAGGTGGTCTCTGGGGTTGGTGTTAAAAAGTCTGTGCTGGGGCGGGGTGTGGGGGGTGGGAGGCTTGGAGCAGGCTTGCCAGCTGGTATTGCTGTGACCAGACTCGTGGAGTGATTTGGACATACCATCCCGCATGCCTTATGGAGAAACTCAAAGCCAGTCTTTGGGCCCCAGAATATTTTTAAAAAGGCTTCAGGTCCTTCCACAGAGTGCTGGGCTTCCTGGCAATGCTCAGGATACCAGCCCCAGAGAATCCCCAATCCACCTCCCTAACTGTGTGTCCTTACACCCTTCTCCCTGTTTGATGCCAAGCAGGCTCGAGATGGGGAACCAACCTTATCTGTTTCAAACCCCAAAGAGCTAATGGAAAGCACTGAAAAGGGACAGGCTTTTCCAAAGATGCTTTTGCGCAGATAAACTTGGTGCCTCTTGATGCAATTGTGTGAACATCACTGAAAAGGGAGGCACGATTTATAACGAGGAGGCTTTGCAGATGGGAGACTCTGGGGTGCTCTGAATCTGTGGGCAGGACTAGCCTTTCTTCTGTTAAAATGGGGGAAAAGTGTTTTATTATTGCCATAGATATGGAGTGCCGCCCAGATGTACAGCCTCACAGTTAATTGCCTTGTTCTTCATCAAATATATGAGCAATAAATTTTCCAGAAAGGGAGTTGTGTGTGTATGTGTGTGTGTGTGTGAGGGGGGGGGGGGGACAGACAGACAGAGAGAGATAGAGAGAGACAGAGAGTACATGAGTGGATGGATAGACAAATGTTGCAAGGGAGAAACACTTAGACCACAGAAAAATGCAGACTGTTTTATGGGAAGCTTGATACAGCACTGCAAGATACTTTGAAATTTTTTGATGATCAAATATACATGATCAAGCCAAGCATGTTATGGTGTGAGGGGCACTCACGGTCAATGGCTATTGATCAAGCTGTTAAGTATTTCTGCTCACTTGTATAAATATAGATAGTTCCCAGATGAATTAAAGATTTCGATGGTTAAGAAACTGGCATTTTTTATTTCTTTGGAGAGGGGAAATGGCCAGGCAGTTGCCAAATATCCAAACCATTGATTATTTCTCTTCCCCAGAAAGACACTTTGAAAAATGGGAATCTCATTTGCATGGGTTTTCAAAAATTGAGTGAAAATATTGCAAGTGGTTTTGTTTGGGATCAAATAAGGGGGAAAAATCACTTTACTTGAGGTTTACTCACAAGCTGGCTGGGAATTTACTTCTCTCTCTGTCAATCTCTCTTCTCTGTAAGTCTCTCTGTCTCTCTTTCTCTCGCTGTCTCTGTTTGCCTTCCTATCTCTGTCTGTTTGTCTCTTTCTTTCGCTCACACACAACATAACTTTGACCTAGACTGACTGACATGCAGCTGAAGAGATGGGGAGGTGTTATTTCTGGGAGTGGAGCTTAAGGTCCTTAAAATCCTTCTAGTTAAGAACAGGGTGATCTGGGCCCATGGCCTTTCCCAATTAACTAATTTCTCACTAAGCTAAAGATCTATTTAGAAAGGTGTGGAAAGGGGTGGGGATGGAGATTTAAAGATAACCTCTAATTGGTCTGGAAAAATCCAGGCGACACCAAGAAAGCCTCTCTATTTCTCTTTCATTTTCTCTCTTCTCTTTTCTGTCTGTCGCCCTCTCCCCCCACCCTGCCTTCTAGAAATTAAAAGTGGACTTGGAAGGGAAGGGACAATGAGAAACAGTTGGGGAGGGGGTGAGAGAAAGCAAACTTTACAAAAATACATTTTATGATGCTGGAGAGCAGTGTTATTTGTAATCCTCCAATTAGCTATTTTAGAGAAGGATCATGTATAAGAAAATCAGCCTTCTCAGAGATAGGCAAAACTGAAGCATAGAGACAATTTATAGTTGTTTTGGCCTCACATCTTAAAAAGACAGAGTATAGCTTTTACATTTATTTCTATCTGCAGAAAAAAAAATCTTTTGGAGCTTAGAGCCTCTCACTGGAATGGGATGAGAGGGGGGCTCAGGCATTCCTATTGATAAATCCTCTCTGGAAGTGGAACTGAAATTGGCATCCCTCAAAACAGTTGATCCACCTAGAAATGGATGAATCAGTCCCGATTATTGGGTGGACGTGCCCTTTCACCTCATTGTGCCTGACCTATCACTTAATTAATCTCTCCCAGATGCAGAGCTGTCGACAATGCCAAAGATAAGCAGTATTTTGAACAAAGCAGGAAGCTTTTTAAAGAGCAAGGCACTCGCAGGGTAGAGGTTCCACATAATGTGTAAAATTGTAGAATCGTCAAGATTTGGATAAGGAGTTTGTTAGAGCGGTGCTGGAGCTCAGAGATAGTCCCATCATACCTAGAAAGTACCTTTCTCTCCCCAATGATAATTATAAATATTCTTGTTGTCTTTTCTTCTCCTCTCTCTGCTCTGGTTTCTTTCCTTCTGCTACTTCTCTCTCCATTCAGATTATGGCCAGTTTCCTGAAAATTGTCTTCTACTCCCCAGACTTGTCGCACTAGCTCTTGGCTTTTTTTTTTTAATATCTTTGGAGCTATGGAGGTGGTCAGCTTCGAAGGCTTTTGGGTGACAAAATATTGACTGCATTTGCTAGTACCTTATGAAGGAGGACATTTGTGCTGGAGGCACCTTGGTGACACAGAGGGACTAGTTCATTAAGTAAAAGACTTGCTAATTGCTCCTTGAAACTGTACGGAGTGAATGAAATGACTGGTGTAAAAGATGACAATTTAGGGGGGAAAATAATATATGGCTTAAAACAGAAAATGTGATGCTTTTACTCCTATCTCAATCGTCAACTATTCAATTGAGCTTCAATTAATGATAATATATGGTTCCGAGATCCTTAGCTGGCCTGACTGATGGAAGAGCTTTGTTGAATTTGGTGCAGGTGGCACTGTTTAATAAGCACAGGAAAGAGTGAATAATGTAGTGCTTGCAAAGAGAAGTAAATGCAAAATAGATCGCTCTAATTATGGCAGCCCCCAGAAATGGAGATGCTAGCTAAAATGGCCCGCTGGCTGGGAAATTCCAAACAGAGCTGATGTCCTACTGTCTTCTTCACTGTTAGGACTGATGCGGTACTTTCAGAGTCAATTCGGATGGGATCCTCTGATACAACACAAGCAGAATCGAAATCTAGGTCTGATGACTCCTCAGTGTTGGCCTGGAATGCTCTGTCACGGAGGCCAACTCTGCCTGCAAAGAAGCTGCTTGAGCACTTCTGACTGAGCAATCTGGGCTTTATTTTGTAATGTGTCTGGAGATTTTGTTTTGTTTTGGTTTGGTTTGAATTTCTTCCTGCCTGAGAGGATGGGTCTGGGGGAAATCAGAGGATGAACTGTTAGGCAACCAAATTTCCCACAGACCTGCAAGGCACTATAAAGATTTTCAATCATGCAAAGATAATCAATAGGACATTGGTTGTTTTTAATGAATAGAAGAATAAAAATGTGTGTGGAGGAGAGACCGGAACTTCTGTAGAAGTTTATGTGGAAAGGGACGTTTCTTACCTCAAGAGACTGTTCCCAAAGGCCAACAGCTGAGTTGGGCTGGTCTAAGGGAAGGATCTGTATCTTTGGGTGCCAGGAAGTGCCCGAGATGACAACCACCCTCCCCGGCACCCCCCAGTTTTCCCCAGAAATATACTGCATTCCACTTCAGTCTCAAGGAAGGAAGCTTCTAATCTCCGTGGAAGGTACAACCCTGCTAGGAGCCCAGTATGTTTTGTGATGG